CTTCTACTCAAACACCTCGAATTTTACGGTCGATATGCAGATGACATCTTTTTTTCTGACCAACGCCCTGGTCAGGAAAGTAAACAGTGTGAATCCATCGCTCAAGTCTTCTACAGTCTGAGGTAGATAATGAAATTTCGTTCGTTGATGCCCTTCTACGAAGGCAAAATGATGGATCTATCCAACGCAGGGTACTCCGAAAAAAGCCTGGACGGGAAAATACATCCAATTTCAACATTTTGTTTTTCCAGATATAAAACGAAATTTAGTCCAGGGATTGGCAGCTAGAGTACGATGGATCTTCTCTCCTGAAACTGTCAAAGCAGAACTCCAACAGTAGCAGACCACGCTTCTTGAAAATGGATACCTAAAAAGGTACCTCCTAAGGAATATTGGCGAACGCACCAAAAAGCCTGCACCTTAACTGTATAAGAGAAAGACGTGTTTATAAGACCGTCTTTCTTAGGCGATGCAGCAAGCGAGCTGATAAGACGACGTCTGAAGACAGTGCTCACAAGTGCTTTCCTTACGGCGAACTGAAGCATATTCTTCACGATCCTCCCCTCCTACGATTAGGAGATAAAGACCGACTCCTTTTGAAGGCCACATTCATGTTCATTTATTCCTTCACTTGCTCCTGTGGATCAGGACATGCTGGCCGAACAACGACGCGCCTAGAAAAGAGAGTACGTGAACATATACCGGCCTGGCTAAGTAAAGATACAACTAGATCGATCTCAAGTTCTATTCTCTCACGAATCACCTAGTTGATCCTAACCAAACCTCTCAGGTTGTCTACCGGACACCAGCCAACTTCTCCAAGGGCTTACGCCAATGGGTGCTAGCAACAGCCGAAGCAGCGGCTATCCAGCTAGTGAACCCAGTGCTGTGTTTCAGAAGACGTTAGTACAGCTATTAGTTACAGGCACTATCACTTCCGTGACTGACGCCGGGTGGCGATCGCAAATAGCCCGTGCACCCTGGTGACAGGTGTTCACTCCGTTTATGTGACATGAATTTTCTCGCCACGTACCCGACCTATGACCAATACTTACAACCTATTCTGATTGCTCCCTCTCCCAGCGCATTGACCTCTAAACGCCGATCTCGCCATGCGGGCAGCGTGAAAACTATGATTTTTAATCGAAGTAGACTTATTAACTCAGTCTAACTGTACGACTTCCATTATCTCTGCAATTGAACCGGCCCGTTGAAGGATTGCCGAAAACATATGTTTGCCAAATAGACCTTTCAAGCAAGACTTGATTTGATATTTCTGGCTCATTTATCGCCGTCAGTCAGCCAGCCACCACTAAGCCCGGATCGGAGAACCCCAAATCATATTCAACCACTCATCTAGATATGAATAAGTCATAGTTAAAGTCCGGCATTTCTTCTCACAAAACGGCCATTTTGGGTATCTGCCAATTGTAACTACTCTGTATACCCTAATATTATCGAAAGAGATGTTTTTTTTCACTCTGGGAAATTTCGCACAAGGGGGCTAACCTGGACAGAAGTTGGGTAATTCGTCGGATCCATCCGTGCAATCACGTTTGCCGTCGCAGAAGACGTTTAACGGTAGACAGTCACCATTTTTACAGGGCAGTCGACCCGGTCCACAACGGTCCTCTACAGTAATCGATATCTGTTTCCTGTCACCTGCTCGGGTGATACATCTAGGTGAGAATGGAATCGGCGGGTGTGTAATGAAATCAAAGAATTATTAGCTACTCAAATTTGTTACTTCAAAAAGCATGTGCGTTCTATATCACAAGTGGTCATAAAGTGACCTAATTCACGAATATATAGATGATGGCTAATAAGTCAGAAATGGCCGTTCCTTGCCTTTGTCGGTAATGTCATTCTGTCTATAATATATAAGTGTGCATAAGATGGTGATGACTATGATAAGGTGGTTGGAATGGTCCTTTGTGGCTTATTAGCCATCGTCAGCAGGTCATATCCAATCCCAGGCGTGGAACATCTGAGATTCGAATCCGGGACCTTTGGTCATTGAATGTAACAACTTATTATTGAACCACGGATCCGTTTACCTGCCGGTTGTGATCGGGACTAGGAATTATAATAATGTGGCGCTCACAAATCTGGTTACGGAGCATGCTCATGCTGTTGTACATGGGAGCTCCCAATTAGTTCTTTTCCAAAAAACGAAAATTACTTAATTTAT